AAGAGGGTATTGCGCTACTTGTGCAATACGTCGGGCATGGGGCTAGTGCTTGGAGGGCGATGTCAAGTGGTCCTCACTGGTCACGCAGACGCTTCTTGGGCTGACGACCAGGCTACGCAGCGGTCGTCACAGGGTTACACCTTCAGCCTTGGTTCCAGCTCTGTCTCGTGGCGGTCTACTCGTTCGTCTTCTGTTCTCGGCTCCAGCTGTGAGGCCGAGATCTACGCAGGGGCCATGGCTGCACAGGAGCTACGCTGGCTCACCTACCTGCTGACTGACCTTGGAGAGAAGCCTCGTTCTCCTCCAATTCTGTACGTGGACAACAAGGTCATGCTGGCCTTGTGTCGAGAGCACAGACTGGAGCACAGAACGAAGCACATTGCTCTTCGCTACTTCCTTGCTCGTGAGCTGCAGCAGCGGGGTCAGCTGCGCCTTGCTTACGTGGCCTCTGAGGCCAACACTGCTGATATCTTTACCAAGGCACTTCCGCCTTGTGATCATCAGCGCTTGTGTACTTTGCTAGGTCTTGTGCCTACTTGGCCTCACTTGCTCACCTCTTGACTTTGCTTGTACTGTCATCTATATATACCTGCGCTTGCATGCATACTCTTGCTAGGTTGTGATCACTGCCTTGCTTGTTCTTCTTGATGTATAACTCTGTTTGCGTATATTAGTATGATGGTTTTAAATAATGGTTGCATAATGCATGAATATGATCGTTTTAGAATGCATAATAGTATGGTACATGTTACTTCAATATGTATGCCATTAAATGATAGAAATGCGTGATAGTTATACTACCTAAACAACTAGGCTACCGCATCCCCTGCCTAGCATGGGGGGGAAGTCAATAACCTAGCATTGAAGTCATACAAATATCACATGAATACAACACAATGTGTGTATCCCAAAAAAATGATCAGTTCTATCGAATCCCGTTCAAGTGGACACACTCACTGAGTGCGCAATGAACGTTCTTGGAAATGATAGGCTGATCAAGTTTTTCAGACCCACATACATGCATTGTCAATGAAATGAGTGAATGAGCATAGATGAATACACACACACACACACACACACACACACACACACACACACACACACAGAAACCCCAAGTCACACCAGAACAAAGTCAAAACAATAACAATAGAAGGTGCAAAACAAAATCAACAAATATAATATAAATGTATTTTGCAAATCACCACTACTCTTCCCACTTTGCAGACTGAACTTGGCTTTCTGAAAGGTGCAATATGATATTCGATGTAGTAGGAATGGGAAAGCAAAACAAGGGAGGATAGGAGAGAAATGACACTGAAAGTGATGAAGGAGAGGGAAAAAAAGGACGAGGGGAGAGAAGAAAAAAAATATCAAAGTGTGGAGAAAATAGAAAAGAAAGCAAGGAAGATGAGGAGAAGAACATAGTAACCAAACAGAATGCAAGCAAATGGTGGTAAGGAAAAAAAATGATGAAAAACGATATACATTAAAAAAACAGAACCAAAAAAACAGAGCAAGTAATAAAACGACGATATACAATGGAGAGGGAGAGCGAGAGCGAGAGAGAGAGAGAGAGAGGACGAAAGAGAGAGGACGAGAGAGAGAGGACGAGAGAGAGAGGACGAACGAGAACGAGATGACAAAATTAGAAGAAAGAAAGAGGGTTTGTACTAGCAAGCAAGGGGATACATATATGAAACCCTAAGGGGTTATACTCGCTATAGAGTACCCCACTGCAGGCTAGATAACAAATATAACATTCTGACACACCCCCATAGCCAAAGTGGGGTGTAATCAGCAGAGCAAGCAAACAGAACAAGCTCAGGGTGGATCACAATGTCACCACACAATCTGAGCACAAGTTCAAGCAGCAGTAGTATAAAGTTCACAGTTATAAGCAAAGCTAGAGGTAGTCACAACGGGCAAGTGAGGCGGAGGAGAGAGAGAGTGAGAGGAAAGGAGATAGGAGGCGACGGATGAAGCTGCAGACACTCGGGCAACAGGAGGCAGACTGGCACAGCGGCTACCGGACGAAGCCCCCGGACTACAGGAGTAACTGGCCCCGCGGCTAAAGTAGCGGCAGACGAGCAACGGACCCACGGGCGACTGGCACAGCTGGCTACGACTGGGCTACCGGACGAAGTCCCCGGACTACAGGTGCTGCTAGCGACACAACGGCAACCTCCGTGCAACTTCCCCAAACAGTCCCACCCCACGACACACACCCGCTGCTACACCCCTAGCTCCACTCCCACGCACCCCCCTTAAACCCTAAACCCCAGTCTCCCACACATCCATCCCCCTCAGCGACAGCTGCAGCAGTGGGAGACGAAGGAGGAGGAGGAGCAAAGGGAGGAATGAGGAAGTGCCACCCCCATACTCGCCACCCCCTGCTTGCCACCCCCAAACCCTAACATTGACAGGGTGGGATGGCGGGTAGCCAGGGTGGGATGGCGGCGCTCGCCCCCTTCCCCCACGGCCCCCGAGGGTCGCCTCGACAGGCGACGGGAAATGGGGCCGGGGCGCAAGGAGGGCGGCGGGGCCACAGGTGTAGGGCGGCGGGGCCGCGAAGGTGGGGCGGCGGGGCCGCGACAGAAGGGCGGCGGGGCCGCAAAGTGGGGCGGCGGGGCCGCGAACGTGGGGTGGCGGGGCCGCGAAATGGGGCAGCGGGGCCGCAAAGTAAGGCGGCGGGGCCGCGACGTAAGGCGGCGGGGCGGCGAAGCGGGGCGGCGGGGCCGCGACGGGTCCCCGTCGCCCGTCGCGTCGCCTCCAGAAGGCGACGCGGCGAACGACGGGGCAGAAGCCCGCCGCGCGCCTCGGGGCGCACAGCGGGCAGAGAACCGCCGCGCGCCTCGGGTTCGCACGGCGGGCAGAAAACCGCCGCGCGCCTCGGGGCGCACGGCGGGCAGAAAACCGCCGCGCGCCTCGGGGCGCACGGCGGGAAGGAAAAGTTGCAGCGGAAGCGAGGGGGTGGTAACCCACCCACAGGATCGATCCAAGGGGATCGACCTGCTCTGATAGCATGACAAAATTAGAAGAAAGAAAGAGGGTTTGTACTAGCAATCAAGGGGATACATATATGAAACCCTAAGGGGTTATACTCGCTATAGAGTACCCCACTGCAGGCTAGATAACAAATATAACATTCTGACACAAGAGAGATCGAACGAGAGAGAGAGAACAAGAGAGAGAGAACGAATGAGAGAGAACGAGAGAGAGAAAACGAGACAGAGAACGAGAGAACGAGAGAGAGAGAACGAGAGAGAGAGAGAGAGAGAGAGAACAAGAGAGAGAGAGATCGAACAAGAGAGAGAGATTGAGAAAGAAAACGAGAGAGAACGAGAGAGAGAGAACGATAGAGAGAGAACGGGAGAGAGAGAACGAGCGAGAGAGAACGGGAGAGAGAGAACGGGAGGGAGAAAACGAGCAAGAGAGAACGGGAGAGAGAGAACGAGAGAGAGAGAGAAACGGGACAGAGAGAACGAGCGAGAGAGAACGAAATGGACTGAACGTGCAACCTATTACAATCTTTATGTACAACCTAACACGTGGTTGAAACAAAAAAAGAACTAAAACATGCAAATATGAAGAAAAGGCAACCGACGAAAGGAATAGTGAAGGATGAAGAATAGAAGAAACAGATGCAAGCTTATGCAGGAAGAAACGAAATCTTTAAAAAAGGAGAACCTGAAATATTTACTAAGGGCCTAGAACCTACGTTTAAACAACTAAGTCTAGCTAATACTCATCCATTTACACAGTAAGGATACGGATTGACTAAATGTTACTCTATCTAATAGGCATCTAACTTAGTTGGAGCTAGAGCTGAGGGATCTTCTTACCTAGGTGGAGAAGCTGGTAGAGCGTGACCAGCGAGAAGGAGAAGCGGGAGAAAAAAGGGACGAACAAACCCTAAGGTAGTCTCGATTCATCGCAAAGGTAAAGCATTGTACATTTCAGCTGTTCGAAATGCACACCAGCGCTATCTTAGTCGTATAAGATAGAACTTATATTTGAAAGGTCTCCAATACGATTCCTGCTGGTATGATCCTTTTATTCTTTGCCTAGCGACAAGAAGTACTACTTAGTGTCATACTACAGCATAATGTACAGAATTATAAGTTCTACAAATTTATGTAATTACGCAAAACGCTTCGCAACCCTAAGTCGATTTCGTCGCCTCTTGTTTTTTTTCTGCCCGGAGCGCGCTTCGCTCCTGCCTGAGTCGCGCCCCGTGTGCCCTCCCTCCCGTCGCGTCCCCAGCCCTTAGCGGCCAGTCACGCCCTCCTAAGGCCCCTCGCGGCCCCTCTCACGGCCCCTCGCGGCCCATTCGCGGCTCCCTCGCGGCCCCTTCTTGGCCCCGTCGCCGCCCTTCGCGGCCCCTCACGGCCCCGTCTCGGCCCCGTCGCCGCCCTTCACGGCCCCGTCGCCGCCCTTCACGGCCCCGTCGCCGCCCTTCGCGGCCCCGTCGCCGCCCTTCGCGGCCCCGTCGCTGCCCTTCACGGCCCCGTCGCGCCCTTCACGGCCCCGTCACCGCCCTTCACGGCCCCGTCGCACCCTTCACGGCCCCGTCGCCGCCCTTCGCGGCCCCTCACGGCTCCTTCGCGGTCCCTTCTCGGCTCCCTCACGGACCTGCCGCCCCACCGTCGCCGCCCCTGCAGCAACAGCCGTCGCCGCCCCTGCAGCGGGAGCCGCCACCGCCGGTGCCGCCGACAGCAGCGGCCGCCGCCGTCACTCCCGGGGCCGCAGCCGCCTCACCCGCCACCAGCAGCACCACAGCCGGGGCCGCAGCTGCAGCAGCCGCTGACTGCAGCCGCCGGTGCGCCTCGGCCCTGCCAGCGCGCCTCGGCCCGTCCCTGCAGGCGCGCCTCGGCCCGTCCCTGCCGGCGCGCCTCGGCCTGTCCCTGCCGGTGCTCCTCGGCCGTGCCTCACCACTTGCGGCCTTCTGTCCCTATTGCTGCCACTACTGCTGCTGCCCCTAGCCTGCTGCTACTACTGTCATGACTACCCCTAGCGTTCTCGTCTTTGATGCTGAGGGTCGGGCTGTTGGCTTTGAGGTCTGGGTCGATGATCTGCAGCTTTTCCTACAGTGCGATAGGAAAGACGATCTCTCACTGTTCGATCTCACGTCTGGCGCCTCTACTACCCCTGCTGCCGATGCTGACAGCACTGTTCGCTCACAATGGGCCACAGGAGATGCTGCTGCCCGTCTTGCTGTGCGTAGTCACTTGCCGTCCACTGAGCGTGCGCACTTTAGTCAGTACAAGAGTGCTAAGACCTTGTACAACGCTGTCATTGCACGCTACTCTTCCCCTGCCACTGCTGCCCTTAGCCGCCTCATGCTGCCGTACGTGTTTCCTGACCTCGCCGCCTTTCCCACACTCGCTGACCTCGTTACTCACCTTCGCGCTAGTGACACCCGCTACCGCGCTGCGCTTCCTGCTGAGTTCTGCGCCATGAACCCCGCCCCCCATGTACATCACCCTCTACTACATAGTCACCCGGCTCCCTGACTCCCTTCGCTCGGTCAGAGACCATTTCCTCTCTGTTTGCCCCACCACACTCACCGTTGACCTTCTAGAGGAGCGCCTCCTAGCAGCTGAGAAGAGTATAGTCGCTGTAGGAGCCTCTCGTGGTGACCCTTGTGCCCCCTTCTTTGAGGGGTGCTCCCCCTCCCCCCTTTTGCCCTCTGTTGCCTCTGCTGCTGCCGTCGACTTCATTGGCACCGAGTCGGTCGGCGCTGCGTCTGCCCCTGGCGGGAGACGCCGCACCGGCAAGGGCAAGGGGGGCAAGGGTGTTTCCTGACCTCGCCTCCTTTCCCACAGTCGCTGACCTCGTTACTCACCTTCGCGCTAGTGACACCCGCTACTGCGCTGCGCTTCCTGCTGAGTTCTGCGCCATGAACCTCGCCCCCCATGTACATCACCCTCTACTACATAGTCACCCGGCTCCCTGACTCCCTTCGCTCGGTCAGATACCACTTCCTCTCTGTTTGCCCCATCACACTCACCGTTGACCTTCTAGAGGAGCGCCTCCTAGCAGCTGAGAAGATTATAGTCGTTGTAGGAGCCTCTCGTGGTGACCCTTGTGCCCCCTTCTTTGAGGGGTACTCCCCCTCCCCCCTTTTGCCCTCTGTTGCCTCTGCTGCTGCCGTCGACTTCGTTGGCACCGAGTCGGTCGGCGCTGCGTCTGCCCCTAGCGGGAGACGCCGCACCGGCAAGGGCAAGGGGGGCAAGGGCGCTGGAGGGGCTGGCGGGGGTGGTGGAGGTGGCGGTGGAGGAGGCGGAGGGAGCGGGGGTGGCGGTGGGAGTGGTGGCGGGGGTGGGGGCTTCGGTGGCGGCGGTGGAGGCGGAGGCGACGGCGGCGGTGGCGGAGATAGCGGAGGAGGTGGCGGTGGCGGCGGTGGCGGAGGTGGCGGCGGTGGAGGTGGAGCTGGTCGGGGTGGCTCTGCACAGCGGGGCGCCTTTGGTGGTGGTCAGCGCCAGCAGCAGCAGCGCACTCGTGAGACCCCGCCCCCCCAGCAGCTTCGTGAGTGGTACGCTGCGCCTCAGCGGGGCGGGGGTGCTGGTCCTTGTGCCTACGTCCTGCGTACCGGCGACCGCACTGGTGAGCCGTGCGGTGGCCCGCAAACCACCCAGCACTGCTTCGGCCGCCTGACGGACCTTTGGCGTCTCCAGTTCCCTGACGCCACTGAGATCCCCCGCTGGGGCGAGCTGCTTACGTCGGGGGTTGCTATATTTGATCTGGATTATGATGCTATTCTTGCTGCCATGTATGTTGTGTCTACTAGTGATGAGGATGACTATTACCTGTGTCTTCCGCTGACCCGGGCATTGAGGCTGCTGCTCTAGGTGCTGGTAAGGCTGCTGCTCTAGGTGCTAGTGCGTCTGCTGCCCCAGGTGCTGGTGAGTCTGCTCTCTCAGGTACCACGTCGGCTCTGGCCGTACACACCTTCACCCTTGACTCGGGTGCTTCCCGCTCCTTCTTCCGATACCGCACCACCCTTACGCCGCTTAGTCGGCCGGTTGCGGTCTCCCTGGCGGACCCCTCTGGGGGTCCTGTCCTTGCCCACTTCTCCACTGTCTTACCGTGTCCGGCGGCCCCCTCTGGCACCCAGTCAGGTCTCTACCCCCCCTCATTCTCCACTAACTTGGTGAGTGGAGCTGATCTACAGGATGGGGGGGTTGACCAGTTCACTCCTGCGAGTCAGCGAGTGACCCACTGTACGTGTGCTCGGACGGGCCGACACTTGGCCACGTTTACCCGTCAGCCGGGGTCGAGCCTGTATACACTGACTACTTAGACTTCTCCGGTTGCTGAGTCTGGTCAGGTAGCTGCGTCAGGTCAGGTGTTTGCTACAGCGTCCAGGTCTGGTCCTGAGTCTGCTCCCTGCTCATGTCGTCTCCTGTCCCACCAGACTCTCCTCTTGCACCACCGCCTTGGTCACCCCACCTTGCCTCGTCTCCGAGGCATGGCCTCCCGTTACCTCTTCTCTGGTCTACCCCGGTCCCTCCCTCCCCTTCCTCCGGGGCCTGCCCCCACCTGCGTTCCCTGCGTCGAGGGGCGGCAGCGCGCCGCTCCTCACTCTTCTGAATTTCCTCCGACAGAGGCTCCACTGCAGACTCTTCACATGGACGTGTGGGGCCCCGCCCACGTCCGTGGCCAGGGTCACGAGCGTTACTTCCTGTTGGTGGTTGACGACTACTCGCGTTACACCACGGTGATCCCCTTGCGCAGCGAGGGTGACGTCACTTGGGTGTTGATCGACTGGATCCGCGCAGCTCGTCTCCAGCTCCGGGAGAGTTTTGGCTCGGACTTTCCTGTTCTGCGTCTGCACTCTGACAGAGGCGAGGAGTTTTCCTCTGGCCTTCTGGGTGCCTTCTGTCGTGCACAAGGCATCCGCCAGACGTTCAGGCTTCCGGCCTCTCCACAGCAAAATGGGATTGCTGAGCGCCGCATTGGCATGGTCATGGACGTCGCTCGTACGTCCATGATCCATGCGGCTGCTCCCCATTTTCTGTGGCCGTTTGCGGCTCGGTACGCGGCACATCAGATCAACCTTCAGCCCCGGGTCTCCTTGCCAGAGACCTCCCCCACCTTGCGGTGGACGGGGAAGGTTGGCAATGCGTCTGCGTTCCGTGTCTGGGGATCTCGGGCGTTTGTCCGCGACTTGTCTGCGGACAAGCTGTCCCCCCGTGCTTTTCCCTGCGTCTTCCTTAGCTTCCCCCCTGACGCGCCTGGTTGGCAGTTTTACCACCCCACCTCGCGCCGTGTTCTGTCCTCTCAGGACGTCACCTTTGACGAGTCGGTTCCTTACTACCGTCTCTTCCCCTACCGCACTGCGCCCCTTCCCCCGCCGCCCCCCTTCCTCGCGCCAGTTCCCCCCCCGGTAGACCCTCTCCCCCCTCAGGGTCCTGCTTCGTCAGGTGTGTCCCAGGTAGACGCAGTCGAGCCGGTCAAGGTAGCTGTTGACTCTGGTACCGCTAGGGGTGCTGAGCCTACGGGTGCGGGGTCTCGGGGTGCTGAGCATGGGGGTGCTGAGTCTGGGGGTGCTGAGCCTGGGGGTGCGGGGCCTGGGGGTGCGGAGCCTGGGGGTGCTGGGTCTGGGAGTCCTTCCGGTGCTTTGTCTTGGTGGGAGCTACCCTCTCCACAGGAGTTGCGCGAGTGGTTTGCCAGGCGCTGGAGCCGTGCTGCTAGAGCTGGAGGTGCTACTGTTGCTGCTGACCCTGCGGTCGGCGCTGGAGGTGCTGGAGCCCCTGATCCTGGAGGTGCTCGTACTGGCGGTACTGGAGCTGCTGGGACTGGGGGTGCTGTTGGGGCTACTGGAGTTGGTCCTGCTGGAGGTGCTGCTGGTGCTGCTGGAGGTACTGGAGCTGCTGGTGCTGCTGGGGGTACTTGAGCTGCTGGGGGCGTTGGCGCTGGAGGTGCTGCTGGCGCTGGTGCTTCAGAGGGTGCTGGAGTTGGCGCTGCTGGAGCTGGAGGTGCTGCTGGCGCTGGTGCTGCCGCTGGGTATGCTGGTGCTGTCCCTGCTGTTTCTGGAGGCGCTGCGCGGCCGCGGCCGTACTTCGTTCCGCTCCTTTAGCAGGTTCTTGGTCTCCCGCCTTCTACTGGTCCTCCCTTAGAGTGTCCACAGCCTCTCCAGTCGCAGTCACAGTTACAGCCCGCCTCACGGCTGCCTGCTCCTTCTCCCTACACTGGTCCTACTGGAGGTCTTCTTGAGCGTCGTGCGCCTGCGTCTCATCCTTCGTTGCCTGTTCGTGCTGTTCGCGCTAGTCGTCGTGTTCCGCGTCAGCGTCCTCCTATGGTCCCGGGCACGCACCAGATGGCACTGCGACCTTCCACTGCTCCGCAGCGTGTCCCTTTGCCGTCTCCTCCAGAGTCTTCTCTTATTGCTCTTGCTGACCCAGAGTCTGACTGCCTTCGTGCTGCCAGTCCTACTGTCACGCGTCTCCTGGCTACTGTTGTCACTGACCCTTACTTTGAGTCCACTGCTGCGTCTGCCTTAGTTCCTGAGCTTGTCGACTTTGCTGCTCACAGTCGTCTAGACTACGCCACGAGTCTTGTTGCTGAGTCTGAGTCTGTCTGTCCTCCGTCCGTCGGGGGTGAGTGTGCTCTTAGCACGGACGTCCTGTAGGACAGGCAGGAGGAGTTCCAGTGTTTTGCTACTGCTTTGCCTCATCTCGTGTCCATGCTGATTGCCCCTGAGGGAGACCCGGATGCACCAGACATCCCGACTCCTTGATCGTACGCTGAGGCGATCGAGGGTCCCTACTCCTCACACTGGCAGTCAGCCATGGACACAGAGATGGCTTCCTGGAAGTCCACAGGCACCTATGTCGACGAGGTTCCCCCACCGGGGGCGAACATCGTGAGTGTCATGTGGATTTTTAGGGTGAAGCGGCCGCCGGGTTCTCCGCCTGTCTTCAAGGCGCGTTACGTGGCGCGAGCCTTCAGTCAGCGGCAGGGAGTTGACTACTTTCATATCTTCTCTCCCACCCCGAAGATGAGTACTCTTCGGGTGCTGCTGCACATAGCCGCTCAGCGCGACTACGAGCTTCACTCTCTTGACTTCAGCATTGCCTTCCTACAGGGTAGCCTGCACGAGGAGATCTGGCTACGCCGCCCACCTGGCTTCACTGGGTCATTTCCTCCTAGTACCCAGTGGAACCTCCGACGGCCAGTCTACTGTCTTCGCCAGGTGCCCCGTGAGTGGCACGACACACTGAAGACTAACACTTGCGGCTCTTGGGTTTGCTCCTTCTACTGCCGACCCGTCGCTATTTCTGCGCACCGACACCTCTTTGCGGCCTTTCTACATCCTCGTGTACGTCGACGACTTGGTCTTTGCCACTGCTGACACTGCTGGACTCGCCCACGTGAAGTCCGAGCTGCAGAAGCGACATACGTGCACAGACCTGGGTGAACTGCGCAGCTACCTTGGCTTGCAGATCACCTGGGACAGAGCATAGCGCACCATTACTCTGACTCAGTCACACATGGTGCAGCAGGTCCTTCAGCGCTTCGACTTCACGTACTCCTCGCCTCAGGCCACTCCTCTGTCTACTCGCCACTCGCTCTCAGCTCTGCCTTCGGATGAGTCCGTAGAGTCGAGTGGTCCTTACCCAGAGTTAGTTGGTTGCCTCATGTACCTGATGACCTGCACACGACCTGACCTTGCATACCCTCTTAGCATCTTGGCACGCTATGTTGCTCCTGGGAGACACTGACTAGAGCACATGGCTGCAGCGAAGAGGGTGTTGCGCTACTTGTGCAGTACGTCAGGCATGGGGCTAGTGCTTAGAGGGCGGCGTTCAGTGGTCCTCACAGGTCACGCAGACGCTTCTTGGGCTGACGACCAGGCTACGCAGCACTCGTCACAGGGTTACACCTTCAGCCTTGGTTCCGGTTCTGTTTCGTGGCGGTCTACACGCTCGTCTTCTGTTCTCGTTTCCAGCTGTGAGGCTGAGATCTACGCGGGGGCCATGGCTGCACAGGAGCTACGCTGGCTCACCTACCTGCTGACTGACCTAGGAGAGCCACCTCGTTCTCCTCCAGTTCTGTACGTAGACAACAAGGCCATGCTGGCCTTGTGTCGGGAGCACAGACTGGAGCACAGAACGAAGCACATTGCTCTTCGCTACTTCCTTGCTCGTGAGCTGCAGCAGCGTGGTCAGCTGCCCATTGATTACGTGGCCTCTCAGGCCAACAGTGCTGATATCTTTACCAAGGCACTTCCGCCTTGTGATCATCAGCGCTGCTGTACGATGCTAGGTCTTGTGCCTACTTGGCCTCACTTGCTCACTTCTTGACCTTGCTTGTACTGTGATCTTTCTATACCTGCACTTGCTTGTTTACCGTTAAATATGATCTTGCATGTGAACTGGCCTTGTGACCTTGAACTTGTGCTCGGAATGTGTGGTGACGTTGTGATCCACCCTGAGCTACGCTGGCTCACCTACCTGCTGACGAACCTAGGAGAGCCGCCTCGTTCTCCTCCAGTTCTGTACGTAGACAACAAGGCCATGCTGGCCTTGTGTCGGGAGCACAGACTGGAGCACAGAACAAAGCACATTGCTCTTCGTTACTTCCTTGCTCGTGAGCTGCAGCAGCATGGTCAGCTGCGCCTTGCTTACGTGGCCTTTGAGGCCAACACTGCTGATATCTTTACCAAGGCACTTCCGCCTTGTGATCATCAGCGGTGCTGTACGATGCTAGGTCTTGTGCCTACCTGGCCTCACTTGCTCACTTCTTGACCTTGCTTGTACTGTGATCTATCTATACCTGCACTTGCTTGTTTACTCTTATATATGATCTTGCATGTGAACTGGCCTTGTGGCCTTGAACTTGTGCTCGGAATGTGTGGTGACGTTGTGATCCACCCTGAGCTTGCTTTGCTTTGCTTGACTGGTCTTGTGACCCCTTGTTCTCCCCCACTTTGCCTATGGGGGTGTGTCAGACTTATATGACTTGGTCTATGTAGGCTATAGTGGGGTAGCACATATAGGGTACAACATTTCTAGGGTTTTTACTTGTACCCAACCTTCCCACTAGTCAATCATTTCTCGTTCTTTCACAACTATGCGACGTCGCCAGCTCGTGCGACGCAACGTGTCACACAAGTTCTGCATCCGCGACTCCGTCGCACAATCCGGCCACCCTGGCGAACTGAAAATCTGACACATTTGCAAAGCGGCCTGCAAATCGGCCACCAAATGTGTCAGATTTTTCGGCCCTGTAAATGTGGCCAGATATTGGTCGCTTTTGAAGTCGACCATGTTGTCGACTTTGGCGAAAGATATGGTCGACCAACTTGTCGACCAAATTCTAGCCAAATCACCTTGTAACGGATCTGATGCACCCTTATGTACCAACTCTTTTTTCCTGCAATAGGTTTCCCTGGGCTAGATTGTGGCTTGGTGGTTAGGTCGGCTTGGTGCGTACCAAGGCGAGCCAGAGCACTGCCTTGTCTCGACCTCCGGTTTGCCTAAAACCTTTGTTCGGTGCATCTATCGCACCAAAGCAATTCTGCCACCCGGCTACCGACAACACGACTACCGACAACCTCGTGCACAAATCCACGTTGTACAAGGGAAAGAAGCCCCACGCATGGCCGTTTCTTGCGTCAAAGAAACGAAGTGAGAGCCATTCTTGTTGCTGTGAAATAAGCCATCGCTCGCGTCACGATTCCGCTTTTCTTGTTTCAACATGCTCCTTCTGGATTTAACTGAGTCACTCTGCTCCGCACTGCGGCCCGGCCATGTGCCCTATCTCCTTTTCTGGAACAGTAGTAGTTATCGCGAACTATGGCTCACGCCACCCACACGCGGTCAACCATGCGTCGCTTCTCTCGTCGACTGCCCCAAGTTGTCGTCTTTTTCCTCATAGTCTCGCCGGTCCCAACCACAGCGCCGTACGAATCCAGCATCACTCCAGGAGGCGATGATGTCCCCCCCGATGCGAGCAACGTCCCTCCCGACGCCAGCGATGTCCCCCCCGGCGCCAGTGACGTCCCCCCCGATGCCAGCGACGTCCCCCCCGACGCCAGCGACGTCCCCCCCGATGCCAGCGACGTCCCCCCCGATGCGAGCGCGGGCGCCGCCGGCGACGAGGAGGGGTACATGGAGGCGACACCGGCGGTGAAGCAGCTGGTGGCGCGGCTGGAGCGCGTGGCGGGGTCCATGAAGAACCCCTGGGAGGTCCTCATGCACCTCGACCAGCTCCTCGCCGCTGACGCCAGCGCAACCCTGAGCGCCGCCACTTCCTCTGGCGCCGTGGGAGCAGCGAGCTCTAAGGTGTCGCCCCTGGCCACTGGGTGCGCCGCGACCAAAGCGCAGATGCTCAAGGAGGTGTCGCGGCTGGCGTGGAGGCTGCACTTCCGGCCCATCAAGTACACCATCATGGGGCGCTTCTTTAGGAACATCGCCACCACCGCCAGTGAGCCTTCTCGTGTTTCTTCCTACTGGCATCCGCTTAACAATCAAACAAGTAACCCTTCCGATATTTCGTCTCGTTTATTTGCTCCTACATTTTTTGCATGTCGTTTGTGGTGGTAACTGCGCAGAGAAGAACAACGGTGACCTGAGGTACCTGGGGTGCCGCACGTACCTGATACCATCCAACTTCGCATTCATGAACATGATCGCCAAGGGCATGGGTGACGTCAGGTACCTGGTGCTGGCGCCGCTCTACAACACCATCAACGCCACGTACCACTTCGACCGCCTGCGCCGCTTGCCGCACGGCACCACCATGCCCACGCTCATCCCCGGCTACCCCATCGCCAAGTACTTCACGCCCGTCACTCCCCTTGCACTCATCACCTTGGGCGGCTCCATCGTCGCCGTCGGCACACCCGGCGCCAAGACGGTACTCGCACGACTTGGGTGGGCGCAGATTAAGGACCGTGATATTCACTGTGGGAAGTACCTGGCGGCTCACGGTGTGAGCACCCTGGTCATTCCACGCATCAAGATCCCCAAGTGACCCACTGCTCCAGAACTTACGGTACCCACCCGCAGCCATTAGCTATTAAGCCATAGAAGTTTTCTTAGTTTCCTAACAAGGTCGTAGCTGAGGTTGGAGGGCTTGCCTTGTCTCAACATGACACGCAGGTACCTTCTAGCTAGCATAATTTAGCAGTAGGATTGCCTATTTGGCAATGTTTTGGTTTGAGCAGATTCTGCTGCAGGGCCCCAGAAAAGGCTGATTAGGGTTAAAAAGATGTAGTTTCCAGTGCTGGAGAGAAATTGGGGCTACGGTAATTTTCCTACCTCTTGTACGGTATACGTGGGCGTTTCCAAACAAAAAATGGCTTGTTTTTCCCCTATTTTCGTTACCTTCTCAATGCCCTCAGCACATTTTTGATACCGTACCGTACAAAAGTTTTGATGCCTCACACCTGTTGCATTGTCACATTTCAGAAACACCTACCTACAGTACCAGTATGCCCCCAGCAATTACCAGCCACACCCTAAATACATATACAGTACTCCTTTTACAAGAAACACACAAGCAGCAATCTCTTTTCCCGCAACTTCAAACTCAAAAGTCCATGACAGTCCCCAAATCATCCACCTCCAGCCCATACATCCGGTCAACGCCATGAGTGTCTACCCGGTTGTCACTGTTCAGCAGCTGTGGGCAATCCCTCACACCCAAGTAGCACAGCATCCTCAGCTCTGTCACCTCCTCTGGCAGCGCTTCCAGATTCTCACAGCCGTTCAGATAGAGTCGTCTCAGCCTGGACAATCGAGCAAATCCTGATGGGAGGGAGTGGAGGCAAGTAAACCCAGCATTCAGCTCCTGCAGACATGTGAGCTGGGTCAGGGAATCAGGCAGCTCCCCCAAGAACCTGCAGAAGCACACGCTCAGCCTGCGCAGGCGAGTCAATACACCAATGTCATGAGGGAGAGGTGCCAGGCGAATGCATCCTCTGATCTCCAACGACGTCAAGCACTGCAGCTCACACACACTTGCCGGAAGCCTTCTCAACGATGAATTCTGAACTACCAGCTCTCGCAGCTGTGGTAGTAGCGATCCGATGCGCTCTGGGAGCCGTCTGAGCTTGGGGGATTCCAGAATCAGCAGCACGTGGAGGTGCGGGAGGTGTGGAAAGGGCGAGGGGAGATCCTCGGCTTCTCCCACCAGTTGCAGCTTCAGCCTCCTCAGTCGACACGCACTCGTGATCGCTGCCAGGTTGCTTCCAGCATCAATTTTACTGAGCTCCAGGCTCCTCAGATGCGGCAGGTGGGGCATGGTGGAGGGAGGAGCGCGCTGACTGTACATCGGCATGGCTAGGAATTCCAGAGACGGAGGGAGGGATGCAGGAGGCTCAGCCACACAGTGAACCACCTCCAGCCGCTTCAGCCTTGTGAAAGCATCCAGCCCTGGAACTGGCGTGAGGTGATAGCAGTTATCAATCACTAGGATCTCCAACCCTGTGAGGCCTGAGACGGAGTCATGGATCATTCTGAGATTAGGGCAGGAACACAAGCACAGGTGCTGCAGGCTACTCAGCATCGCTATGTCCTGTGGAAGCTCTTCAATCGTGGACCTGTTAAGCTCAAGACGTGTCAAGAGAGAGAGCTGCGTGAATGAAGACGGGAGCAGCCGCTGCACATGGCCGTGCTCTTCCAGGAGAAGAGTTTTCAGGTTACTGAGTTTGCCGATGCCGTCTGGAAGCATCTGTCCAAGATACAGCGTCTCAAGAGCAGTGAGGCAGCTGAATTCCGCTGGCAGCCGGCGAACCCCCTGGCATTCGAGGAGAGAGAATTCGAGGCGTGTGAGCTGGGCGAGGGAGTCAGGGAGGGCTGTGAGAGGCAACGCGAACAGCTCCAACCGTTTGAGTGCCGACAACTCCCCGAGGTTTCTTGGAAGGCGGGAGATCTGGGTGCAAGAGGAGATGCGCAGGCTCTCCAACCGTGCGAGGGAGGTCAGCTCCTCTGGCAGCTCCGTCACGCTCGCGCATCTGAAAAGACTCAACTCCCGCACACACGGCATCAGCTCTCCAATATCAGCGGGGAGAATCTCAGCGGCGCTGACAGAGGCGATTTCCAGCAGTTGGAGATCGGTGCCTGGCGAGCCTGAAGGAAACAGGTCGAAGAATGTTTGGCAGATGCCGTTGACTCGCAGCGACCTCAGAGAGGGCAGTTGTAGAGGTGGGGACGAGGCAGAGTCGGCATCACGCCCAAGCACAGTGGTGAGGAGATACGGAAAGACTGGAAAGGCTTGGCAGATGACGGAGACTTAAAAATTGCTCAGGAGTAAGGTGCGGTGAGGCAATATAGAGAGCGGTGAGCGAACTGAAATCGGCAAACCCTGGAACTTGTAGAGCAGATGAGTCTGTTAGTACAAGAGAACGCATGCGCGTGAGTCGGAAGAAGGAAGGTGGGAGACGAACATCTTGGTGCAGGCAGAAGAGCGCGAGGTGCTCGATTCCTGTGCACTGCCGGAAGAACCGATCCAAACCCGCTTCAGTGATCGGATGCGAGTCTTCTGGGACCTGGATCCGCGGGTTACGGTGAAACAGGTTGATCCTGGTCCCCACGTGAAGCGCCCTCAGCTTAGGGCAGGTGGAGGCGAGGTGAGCAAGGAACGCGTCGTCGACGCACTCCGCGCTGCCATCGTGCAGGTGAAGGTGGGTCAGACTCGGGAAGCGAGTAACGGCGCTCGCGAGATCTTGGCGGGAGACAGCGAGATCCTCTCGGACAGAAATGCTGCTGACGTGGCGCTCCGCGAGACGACGCCAGTCACGGCAGACGGAAGCTACGAGGAGATTCCACGCCACATCTGCGGAAGCCAGGGGTGCTTGTGCGAGAGTGATGCTTTTCTCAGGAAAGATCGACGGACGTCCACGGCAGATATCGCCCCTTGTACTCAAGAACTTGTAATCGCCACTCTCAGATCCGTCCGATATGATATCCATGATGGACTGGCTGGTATGCCATAAGATCTTCACCAGGAGTTGCGTCGGAAGGGAGAGGATATGCGTGCACTCCATACTGCGAGATCGAGCAGCTAATACTAGTCTGGACGGCTAGAGGAAAGAAGACAGGCACGGGTAAAATAGAAGGGCTGGAAATTCAAGAGCAGATGTGGATCCACAAGGTACGTTATAAGCGCGGAGGCATGTCAGGTTGATCTTACTGCCTCTCGTTGCGCCAAGTTCGAAAATTCCAACGGGACGTGTCCACCTAAGAGCCTCTTTACAACGATCCCATCTCCTCGGTTCATCTAGGTGTGTCCTCGTCGACAGTCATTAGCTTGACAGCTGTGTTCCTCGTTTCAGGATCCCTAGGCGTGTCTGCTTGCTGCATGCGCGTGCCTCCTTAGTTGGCAGGCGGAGGAAGCTAGAACGGCCCCGAGAAATACAGCACCAGCTGGGAATGTGTCATTCCCGCTTCTCATGCAGGCGACGAACAAATTGGGGATTTCTGTCGCCTTTCACAAATTTTACAGAGCCACGGACGAGAAAAACCAGAGTCACGATACGTCGCAAGTGCTTCGCGCAGCGATTTTGGCAAACGTGCGACTATGCGGTTTGGCCCTCGTGAAAGCTGCTGCTGGTAACCCCGCTCTTGCATCACTTCCTGCAAACAAAGCTGCTGCTGCCATCGCACGTTTCGAGTCGGAAGAGCTGCGCTTGTGAGCCTCCCCGGTCAGCCTAGACGGGCATGCAGCACTCGAAGCTACGGTGCTGCCGTCGCAGCGTTCCAGTCGGGGGGGCTGGACCCGTGAGCCTCTCCAGTGGGGCTAGACCTGCGTGCAGCACTCGAAGCTATGATGCCATCACGCCACGTTTAGTCGGGAATGTCAGAATAGCTGCTGCTCACACTCGAGGAATGGATGAGAGAGCAACGCAGTGCGTCACGTCATAGTATGATCCAACTTCCACCTCCCTGTTGAGCCGCCAACAGTCGCTTCTATCAACCCTCGGCACGAAGTATTCAATTTCCTTTTACCAAAGATTCTAAGAGGCTACAGCGTGATCCTGTTTGCGTCTCCATAGTACATTCCAGCTGGCGCGGCTGTGGCAAGACTTTCAGCATCCCTGCCTCTGTAAAACATCACGTGCAGCGTACCGGACGGGAATGGAGCCCTCACCGAATCCGGCCTCCATTTTTAGCTTTAAGGCGCCGTTCGATTGCACTGTAATTTTTTGTACAGCCACATCACAGTGTGTCCGAGTCGCCCCTAGGGTTTCCGAACCTAGGGTCACTTCACGACATATTCAACTTGCTGGCAACACAATCTTGCTTCACCATTGTTTAGATTTGACAGCTGTGGAAACAAACAAATCCCACACAGTCAAAACCGCGTTCACCACAAGTAAAACAACGAGCTACAAAATTGTGCATTAAATGCACTACATGACAACAGGGGCACTAGTACCGGCTGCAATCTCTTCCCCAAGACTCCTGGAGGCCACAGCTGCTTACCCCTCCGTCCAACTCCGAGCTGTGAGAGATAGAAAAAAAAAAACCAAAGGGGTTGAATCTGAAACTCCCCGTCATCCTCCTGAACCAAGCACATCCAGGATGATGTGGCGTCTCGTTTCTGCTGAGGTACACCGTGTCGCGCGCCTCGACGAGGTCGTAAATGAGTGGTCGATGTACGTAGTTGTGATCCCGCAGTGGGTAATATACGCGACTTTTGAGGCGGGTCCAAATACGTTCCACAACACCGCTACCCTAGGAAGCGCTCATTGCTGTGCTCATTCGAAGGAATGAGGATCGAGTGAGCTAACAGCGGAGAGATGAGTTCGGTTGAAAAGGGGAGTGTTCTTGGTAGAACCAATACCCTCGATTCAGGTTGGGGCAGAAGGGGGCGAAGTTCAATCTACCCAGAGCCCTGCCCGAACTCTTTACACCTTCAAAGTGGCATTGGGGAGGCTGTCGTTGTTGCAGCTAGTGGAAACCAAGCCTTTTTTGCCCGTGAAGTACTGTTGCTTGACCAGCATGCAACAGTGTTTTTACCGCGGTCCGCAGCGAAAATTACCGCACCAGATTCGTAGGTGGGCCGAACGTACTTCAGGTTCTGGTTCGGATAAGCCTAACCTCTCGTGGGGTTTAAAGCCCAGGTGTGCTGCTGTCGAGCCTTTACCGAACCACGCAATACTGTGATAGGGCTGTGGTTACCCCTGGACTGTGAAGCTATCGAACGGCGCCTAAGTGAATAGAAGGATTCGACGCTTAGCTTAGAGCACTCGAAAGTGTTGGAGATTACGTGTGTTGGAAGCAAGGTGGTGGTGGGGCGTTTGTATGCCCCCAACCCACCGAATGTGTGACTTGTGCTCACCTTCGAGTGAGTTGCAGGTTTGCGTGGGGTTGAGGATTGACTTCGGAAGACCCATTCGATTCGGTGCCACATGGCAGCACCAGGAACATTCGAGACCCAAGGAGAATTCGGATCGGTGAAATTCGAGAGTCGAATTTCACCCTTTCGATGTTACTCGAACATTCGCGAGTGTAGCGGTTCGAGGTTACTTGTGCGATTCGATCTTGTTTGCATGCTATAAATATGTTTTCTTTGTATTGCATGCCATCATAGTGAAACTCAGAGTTCTTTGTACAAGGTACATTCGAACCAAAATTCCAGAGAGCTCCTATCCTTCCTTCTAAGAGCACTAGCAATCACATGAACGTCAGTATCTCGGCGTATACTTGGGCGATTAACGTGTTTGACGGCTCGTTGGAAAGCCGACGCTGTGCTCTATTGTTTAGTACAACTTAGAGTTCCTGCCAACTAGAGGACACGCCTCTACATCAGTGGTATCAGAGCTGGTCGGAGGAGTCTACGCGCGCGACAAGGAGCACGCATGATGACTTCAAGCGAGGCCTCCCGCACTTCCTTGGATGGTGTCGTTGTAAATTCCGGCGAACCCTGGGCAACCGCGACGATGTTCGACACGTCGGCGGTACCGATTTTCACGGGACAAAACTACTCCGCGTGGAAGTTTAAGTTCCAAGTGTTCATGATGGAGCGGGGACTTTGGGGTTTCTTCGATGGAACGGAGAAGAAGCCGGACGATGAGAGCGGCATCGCGGCATGGAAGAAGAAGGACCAAAAGGCGTTCACTACGTTGATTTCGCGCATCGGCATCAATCTCGTGAGCTCGGTGCGCATGTGCATCAAGCTCGAAGCGTCGGCGCATGAAGCGTGGAAGCGGCTCGAGACCATCCACGTGAACAAGACTCTCCACGGCAAGATCCTAGCCCGGAATGCGTTCTACACGGTGAAGATGCGCGCGGGTGAATCGATGCATGAGTATGCGACTCGTGTGGAGGAACTCGGGGAAACGTTCATGGACCTCGGTGGAACGGTCACGGAGGAGGATTGGATTCTCACCTTGCTTTGCGGCCTTCCGGAAGAGTGGTCGACGGTGATTACGACACTCGATAGCGTGCAAGACACTTGGATGAAGGAAATGGTGGTTGGTCGGCTTCTCCATGAAGAATCGCGTCGCCGACAATTCGCTAATGAGAGCGAGGGTGCCGCCATGTACTCCGGAGGGAGTTCCGGAAAGAAGTCCAAGTGGAGCAAGGACGCAACAAAGAAATCGTGCGGTGGGAGCGAGCATCGCGGCAAGTGTCACTATTGCCGCAAACCGGGACACTTTTGGCGTGAGTGTCATCGCATCTTTTGGGGGGGGGGGCTGATGATAGCCAGGCGGTAAATCGTAGATTGTGTTGCCTCGGAATCGAGAATTGGCCAATTTTGCAATCTGCTGACCGTCAAACCCTCGGTTATACATTCTGGCAGTTGCTCCATCGGAAACCTGGTTGACACGTGGACAATAGCAGCGCGATTGAAAAAGTTCAGGCACGAAAGGACGGGGGGTGAGGCTGTGACTGTACACACACGAGTGTAACATGATGCGCACATGTGATTGGGTTTCTTCTAAACTAAGCGAAACCGAATTGAAAAAAACTGACGAGCGGTGAAATTGTGACTGGAAGAGGCGCGACAATAAACGTTGAAAGTACTTGATTGGCTATTTAACGAACGGGTGAGAAGCGCGGTGTGTTGACGACGCCTTGAACTCCCGCGAAATCTGCCGAAATCAGAATCAACCAGAAAAGGCATTAACGACCCGTTACCTGCAGGCTCGGGGCGTCGCTTGCGTGGTTCACAGTTCGCACACTGGAAAATTGTGACGTTCTGACACGGGGGTTTAGGGCGCGATCAGAACCCAGGGCTGAGTTGACTGAAATACGCTTTCGCTCAGTCACAGTTAGGTTGAGCGTCACAGTTTCAGGTAACCAGACCCGTAATCTAGTTTGAACAACAGTGACAAACACGCTCTCACTCTGTGCCTTGTTCTGACCAGCCAACATGTTCCAACATCTTCGTCGAAGTCTAGGTTTTTAGGTTAGAGCTCCAGCCGTTAGTCCTATATTGGCGCCGACGTTCCCGCTTTTTAACAACCGTTTAGGCACACTGTAGGTTCATTACATTGTGGCTCAGCTTATCTAGAGATCATGTTTTTCCAGATTTCCCGCTTTCTTTCAAGGGACGACTACATAGTCTGATATAGTTTTCTCGGTTTCCTTTATGCAGGAGCTTTGGTCAACCGTTGCTCAAGACATTTCGGCATCTTAGGGTGTTCTTTCTAGACGAAATTGTTAGGTAGTGCACTCAAGCCTGATAGGGCGTTGTTGTAGATGGTGTTCAGCATCCTTCGGATCCTGCTTGTACCTATACTAATGAATCAATGATTCGATTTCTTATTCTTTTGATGGTGTTCACCTGCGGTTGCGGACGACCGTTTAAGAGTGGAAGAGGATTGGAGAACCATCAGCAAGCATGTAGGAAACGCAGCAGGCATGATGAGAGTATAGATGAGGAAGTGTTCGAGTATGTACGCCAACACCGTTCCGATGGAGGCGCCAATTTGGAGTCCTTGCGAAACACGGCGAGAAATGAAGAGAGGGACACTCGTGCTCCTACACCAGCTGCGACGTTCCAATTTCCTAGTGTGGGGGAAGAAGAGGAGATACCGCTTAGAAACGCTTTCCTGGGTGTGGAGAAGCTGGTAGAACCAGAGGAGGAGAGGTACGATCCAGACAAGGCCTTGATGCTCGCTTTCAATAAGTGCAACGGAGGTATGGGCCTTTCCACGCATGATACCAACTTGATTCTAGCAGTCATGCATGATTGCCGTTTTGTAAAACCTTCTTTCAAGAACAGAGCTGCCTTGGAGAAGTACGAGAAGCAGATGTTGGCTGAGATGACCGGGATACAGGAGTGGGAGGCTATAGATGTCAGTTTGGGGACCGATGTTAGTGCGACTCTGTACGTTACTTCTCTAGCGAAGGCTGTGGGATCTATGTTTTCCGACCGCGAAAATCATTTGGCCTTTGTTCACAGACCTCAAGCGCTTTACACTCGGGATGGTCAGCGCATTTATGCAGGGCCAGAAACGGGAAACTGCTGGATTGAATGGCAATCCAAGGTTCCAATAGGAGCGCTAGCTGTACCGGTAATCATCTATACTGATGCAACCAACCTGAGCAATGATGGGCGAGTAGTTGGGCATCCCGTATACTGCACCCTTGGAAGTATTTCGGTGAAGAACAGATGGCAGCCGCACGGGCACCGGAAGGTAGCTATGCTGCCCCCTCTCACCGGCGTGGATGCCAAAACAGAGGCTGGAAAAAAGTTTCGGCGAGATGTGTTTCACAAGGCAATGGAGCATGTTCTCGAAGACCTCAAGAAAGCCTCTCATGAGTAAGTTTCAGCCCTGATTTAAACCTCTGTCTGCAAATTCTGTAAGCATATTACCCTCATCCCAAGTACTTTCGGGTTCAACCCATCCCACTCACTCATTTCCCCATGTTCCCCCCCCCCCCATTAGAACGTCTCCTCCATTATAAGTCACTCTTGAACCCACGTCACTCTCTCTTCATCCCATCTCTCTCACCTCTCTGACTCATCATCTCATCTCCCTCACTCATCGCCCCATCTCCCTCACGGTTTCACCCCATCTCCCTCACGGTTTCACCCCATCTCCCTCACGGTTTCACCCCATCTCCCTCACTCATCGCCCCATCTCCCTCACGGTTTCACCCCATCTCCCTCACTCATCGCCCCATCTCCCTCACGGTTTCACCCCATCTCTCGCACTCATCACCCCATTTCAGTCACCCATCACCCCATTTCAGTCACACATCACCCCATCTCCCTCACTCATTGCCCCATCTCCCTCACGGTTTCACCCCATCTCCCTCACTCATCGCCCCATCTCCTTCACGGTTTCACCCCATCTCTCGCACTCATCACCTCATTTCAGTCACCCATCACTCCATTTCAGTCACACATCACCCCATCTCCCTCACTCATCGCCCCATCTCCCTCACGGTTTCACCCCATCTCCCTTACTCATCGCCCCATCTCCCTCACGGTTTCACCCCATCTCCCTCACTCATCGCCCCATCTCCCTCACGGTTTCACTCCATCTCCCTCACTCATCACCTCATTTCAGTCACCCATCACCCCATTTCAGTCACACATCACCCCATCTCCCTCACTCATCGCCCCATCTCCCTCACGGTTTCACCCCATCTCCCTTACTCATCGCCCCATCTCCCTCACGGTTTCACCCCATCTCCCTCACTCATCGCCCCATCTCCCTCACGGTTTCACTCCATCTCCCTCACTCATCACCTCATTTCAGTCACCCATCACCCCATTTCAGTCACACATCACCCCATCTCCCTCACTCATCGCCCCATCTCCCTCACGGTTTCACCCCATCTCCCTTACTCATCGCCCCATCTCCCTCACGGTTTCACCCCATCTCCCTCACTCATCGCCCCATCTCCCTCACGGTTTCACCCTATCTCTCGCACTCATCACCTCATTTCAGTCACCCATCACCCCATTTCAGTCACACATCACCCCATCTCCCTCACTCATCGCCCCATCTCCCTCACGGTTTCGCCCCATCTCCCTCACGGTTTCACCCCATCTCCCTTACTCATCACCCCATCTCCCTCACGGTTTCACCCTATCTCTCGCACTCATCACCCCATTTCAGTCACCCATCACCCCATTTCAGTCACACATCACCTCATCTCCCTCACTCATCGCCCCATCTCCCTCACGGTTTCACCCCATCTCTCGCACTCATCACCCCATTTCAGTCACCCATCACCCCATTTCAGTCACACATCACCCCATCTCCCTCACTCATCGCCCCATCTCCCTCACGGTTTCACCCCATCTCCCTTACTCATCGCCCCATCTCCCTCACGGTTTCACCCCATCTCCCTCACTCATCGCCCCATCTCCCTCACGGTTTCACCCTATCTCTCGCACTCATCACCTCATTTCAGTCACCCATCACCCCATTTCAGTCACACATCACCCCATCTCCCTCACTCATCGCCCCATCTCCCTCACGGTTTCGCCCCATCTCCCTCACGGTTTCACCCCATCTCCCTTACTCATCACCCCATCTCCCTCACGGTTTCACCCTATCTCTCGCACTCATCACCCCATTTCAGTCACCCATCACCCCATTTCAGTCACACATCACCTCATCTCCCTCACTCATCGCCCCATCTCCCTCACGGTTTCACCCCATCTCTCGCACTCATCACCCCATTTCAGTCACCCATCACCCCATTTCAGTCACACATCACCCCATCTCCCTCACTCATCGCCCCATCTCCCTCACGGTTTCACCCCATCTCCCTTACTCATCGCCCCATCTCCCTCACGGTTTCACCCCATCTCCCTCACTCATTGCCCCATCTCCCTCACGGTTTCACCCCATCTCCTCCTCGACACATCACCCCATTAATCACCCATCACCCCATTTCAGTCACTCATCACCCCATCCCCCTCACTCATCAGCCCATCATGCCCGGTATTTCGGGTGCTGCCCCTATTTCAAAACAGGGGGATGATTGTAAAAGACCCATACGGAGCTGAGTACGTCGTGTATCCGTTCGTATATGCTATCGTGGCGGATCAACCTGAGGCTTGCAAACACGCCGGCACTTTTGCAAGTCATAAAGCAAAATTCCCGTGCCACAAATGCTTGGTAAAGACAGAGGACATCAGCAACATGCAAGTCCCCTTGGTTTACCGAACTGAGACGGACCAACGAGCTAAGGTGGAAGAGTTGCTGGCCATCACTACCCCGACTGCAAGAACTGATGCTTCAAAAGCTATCAGCACCCACCCAGTCAGAGTGAGTGCTTTTAGGGAATGTTTGTGTACTGCAGCACCTATAGTGGTCCACATTATGTGCTTGTATGCATTGCAAAGTATTTTCATGCGTTCGCCAACCAATCTCTCTCACTCATCCAACTCATCCCTCCTCACTCCCCACCCCATCCCTCTCGCTCATCAGTCCATCCTCCTCACTTCCCACCCCATCCCTCTCGCTCATCACCCCATCTCCATCACTCTTCAGGCCATGATTTGTGTGTGAGTCATTGTGCAAATCGTTTGATCAATTTTGAACCCTCCTATTGTGTAGGCTGCCATTTGGGGTTTTAACTTGGGAGGGAGTGAGGTCGGAAATCCCTACCGAGCACTGCTTGTGGAAGTCATGCACGCGCTAGACCTTGGCATCTTCATGCACATCGTGTCATGCATTCGAGTCATGTACAAGGACGACACGAAAGTGCTGAAGGCTCTTGACAAGGCACTGCAGGATCTGGGTGATGCAACCCGCATCTCGGGATTCCGTATTCCAAAGCGGGATAAAGGCGGCTATTTTGCCGGTTCTGCGAAGTTCCAGGCTTTCGAGCACCGCGCCGTGATGCAGGTCGCAACCATCGTGCTTGCCGGTATTGTGGATCAGAAGATTGTCGATGCAGTCGCAGCATTTGTGGACTGCTACATGCTGACATGCCGAAGATGGTATCACACCGACGGCACATTGTCCGAGCTCGACAGTGCCATCAAAAAGTAACGACCCATTTCCAAAGCCTCACCTGTTTGTTTCTTCCCCCAATCTCTCCACCCTGGTTTCACCCTTATCCTTTCTTGATTACGACCCACCACTCCATGTTTGTCTCACCCTCCATGTCCACCACCCTCTCTCTGCTTCCTTCATCGGTCAGTCCCTACTACTCTATCCTTCACCCTCATCTCTCAAACCATACCTCTCCATCCCTCTCTGTTGATCCCTCCTCCACCCTCTCATCCCACCTTGCTTCGCCCTCTCCCTTTTTCTCACTCCCTACTTGCCTATCTCTTCTCTCCACGCCTACCTCCATGCAGCTCCCACCTCCTCCCTGGCAACTTCTCCCTGCCCAGCCCATCATCCTCCCTCTCCTCACCCACTGCAGCTCCCTCCTCACTCGCTATTCCTCGACACCGCTCCCCCCTCCCTTGCTACTCCTCCCTGCAGCTCCCTCCTCCCTTGCTACTCCTCCCTGCAGCTCCCCCCTCCCTTGCTACTCCTCCCTGCAGCTCCCCCCTCCCTTGCTACTCCTCCCTGCAGCTCCCCCCTCCCTTGCTACTCCTCCCTGCAGCTCCCTCCTCCCTTGCTACTCCTCCCTGCAGCTCCCCCCTCCCTTGCTACTCCTCCCTGCAGCTCCCCCCTCCCTTGCTACTCCTCCCTGCAGCTCCCCCCTCCCTTGCTACTCCTCCCTGCAGCTCCCTCCTCCCTTGCTACTCCTCCCTGCAGCTCCCCCCTCCCTTGCTACTCCTCCCTGCAGCTCCCCCCTCCCTTGCTACTCCTCCCTGCAGCTCCCTCCTCCCTTGCTACTCCTCCCTGCAGCTCCCCCCTCCCTTGCTACTCCTCCCTGCAGCTCCCTCCTCCCTTGCTACTCCTCCCTGCAGCTCCCCTCTCCCTTGCTACTCCTCCCTGCAGCTCCCTCCTCCCTTGCTACTCCTCCCTGCAGCTCCCCCCTCCCTTGCTACTCCTCCCTGCAGCTCCCCCCTCCCTTGCTACTCCTCCCTGCAGCTCCCCCCTCCCTTGCTACTCCTCCCTGCAGCTCCCTCCTCCCTTGCTACTCCTCCCTGCAGCTCCCTCCTCCCTTGCTACTCCTCCCTGCAGCTCCCCCCTCCCTTGCTACTCCTCCCTGCAGCTCCCCCCACCCTTGCTACTCCTCCCTGCAGCTCCCCCCTCCCTTGCTACTCCTCCCTGCAGCTCCCTCCTCCCTTGCTACTCCTCCCTGCAGCTCCCCCCTCCCTTGCTACTCCTCCCTGCAGCTCCCCCCTCCCTTGCTACTCCTCCCTGCAGCTCCCCCCTCCCTTGCTACTCCTCCCTGCAGCTCCCCCCTCCCTTGCTACTCCTCCCTGCAGCTCCCCCCTCCCTTGCTACTCCTCCCTGCAGCTCCCCCCTCCCTTGCTACTCCTCCCTGCAGCTCCCCCCTCCCTTGCTACTCCTCCCTGCAGCTCCCCCCTCCCTTGCTACTCCTCCCTGCATCTCCCCCCTCCCTTGCTACTCCTCCCTGCAGCTCCCCCCTCCCTTGCTACTCCTCCCTGCAGCTCCCCCCTCCCTTGCTACTCCTCCCTGCAGCTCCCCCCTCCCTTGCTACTCCTCCCTGCAGCTCCCCCCTCCCTTGCTACTCCTCCCTGCAGCTCCCCCCTCCCTTGCTACTCCTCCCTGCAGCTCCCCCCTCCCTTGCTACTCCTCCCTGCAGCTCCCCCCTCCCTTGCTACTCCTCCCTGCAGCTCCCCCCTCCCTTGCTATTCCTCCTTGCAGCTCCATCCGCCTTCTCACTGGTGCCCTGTTTCGCTCCCTATCTTGAATCTGTTTGTTGTTTGCACACAGGCTAATCCCACTCTTGAAGGAGGTGTTTGGTGATGCTCAAGCTTCGGAGTTCAATATCACCAAAGTTCATTCATTCGCACATGTCGTTGATGACATTCGTCGTTCCGGTGTACCCGTTCATTACAACGCCAACATGTTTGAATATTTGCACCAACCTCTCGTGAAACGAGCATACCGTGGAACAAACAAGCGGGATGCTATGCCCCAGATTGTGAAGCACACTGTTCGGGCACAGATGCTACGTATTTTAAGTGCAGCTGATGACAAGGCAGAGGATGGAGCACAACGAATGGTCGCCCTGCAGCAGGTGTGTGCAGCATACTGTATAATCTACCACACATGCTCAACCATGTTCGATCTCTTTTCATAATGATGTGGATGAGCTCATCTTATCCTCCTTCGCATTGCAGGCCATTGATACTGGAAAGAACACGCTTGCAAGCACGTCTTTCAAGGTGAATTGGAAAGAAGCCGATCCACAGTGTTCGGCATGGGCTGAACACATCCGAGAAGCTCCAGGTGACATGTCTAAGTTGCAGAACATTTTGGAGACCATGGAGAGTGATGGTCAGGTTCTAAGTACCCAGCTACGCATAAAGAAGGGGATGGCGATAGCGGGGGACGAAGATTTCACGAAATACTCAAGTCAATCTCACTATGTGCGCGCTTGTTCTTCCTTCGGGGGTAGGCCATGGTTTAATGATGTAGCAATCCTGGGTGAGGAGGAGGTTGTTACTTGCGGTGGTGAGGGGTCGAGCAAGAAATCCATTTGGCATGCTCGACTGCTACTGCTGTTTGTTCTCGATGCGTTTGTTCCACAAACGAGGGAGGTGGAACAAAAGGAGCTAGCCTTTGTGCGCTTCTACAAGGCCACCGGTGACACTCACATTTCACATTGCCCGCTCATGACATGGGAGGATGGTGAGAATGAGTACCACGTACTTGACGTGGACAATATCCTACGAGTCGCCCATGTAGTTCTAGTGGGTGACGATATTTTTGTTAATAATGTATTTAAATTCTATTGAAGTAGGCGCGACAACGACCTCAAACCTTTGTACTGTGCCCATGTACCGTATACTCTCGGACAAAACACCCCCCCATAATTGTACACCCCCGGGTAGCTTGTGCGGGGTGGGTGTTATGGGGAGCCTCGTTTCTACTATACCCCCCTTTTTGCCTGATTCTCTATAAGACCCGGGGGGTGTTATGGGCGGCTGTAAGGAATTTTCTCGGCATTCCTTACGAACCCGACTACATCGCGTACAGCAACAACCGATTGTTCGCCCGTTACTGCTAACGGGACTTCGCCGACTTCGCGCGCACTGGTTTGCCAAACCTCGCACTGCTGGCATGGCCGTGTCGGCCTACGCTTCGGGACTAGCCCGAGCCTCGCTCCAGCGTAGCACTAGCAAGCTCGCACGCACCGCGTTACCGTTTTGCATGTTTCGCGTATAAATGTTCGCTCATGCCTTCGCTCACATTTTGTACTCGTTTGACACCTTAGTGCAATTCTCGCTACCTCGATTCATTGCACCCGTAACAGCGGCAAAAATACTGAATTTGCTTACATTGCATACAGGGTACTTTACAGGTACTACAGAAGTAATGTGTCAGACTGCAGAAACATCACCACAAGAGCACCTCACATCCACAATTTCACCTAAAAAAACTCTATACAAAGTGCCTTCTACTCAGAATCGTCTCCTGTTAACGGGAATGGAGCGTTGGCACCGCCCTCGCTTGGGCAACGCCGACAACTTGGTCGGATGTACGGGAGTAGCAGCCGACCGCTCACAGTGGGATAGCTGCTCGACAGGTTACGTCGAGCTGCAGCGGACCGCTGTGGTGTTGCTGTCGACCAGGATGCTCGACAACTGCACCTGACTGGCCTAGGCGACGGGTGAGCCGTCTGGGAGATCGACGAAGCAGTCCGTCGACCTACAGTTCGACGGGGAGGTCTATGGAGCATCCCGTCGAACTGCAGCTCGACCGGGAGGTCTATGGAGCATCCCGTTGAACTGCAGCTCGACCGGGAGGTCAACGGAGCATCCCGTCGAACTGCAGTTCGACCGGGAGGTCGACGGAAGGGGTCCGTCGACCAAGGGATAGCTTGACGGGAGGTGTGGTCGACCACGAGCGCTCGGTGGTCGACCAGAGGGACTCAGTGGTCGACGGGAGGCACCTGGGAGTCGACCAGAGCAACAGGGGTCGACCAGGTCGATCGGGTAACCTGCTCGACGAGTTCTGCGGAGGCACGCGAACGTCTTCAAGATCGCGATGGCGCAGGCGACTTCGGGCCAGGGCTGACGCTATCAGACTATTTAGTCTGATTAGTCTGACGAATCAGACCTTGCACTTTTTGGAAAATGTATTTCCAGAGTAGTCCATTTTTCATCACTGAGTGCCTCAGACTTATTGTTTTTGGGCCCTTGATTCCATGTAATAGGCTTCAGACGTAGTCGTTTCTGGAGTCTGACTCTACAGAGTATACAATCTGTGGTCCCTGAGAATATCGAGGCAAACTTTCTTAGAAATTTCTTCCTGATATACCCACCTTCGATTGGCAGAGAGCGCTACCACGCGAGCAAAGTACACTTCAACAGCTGAGGATACCAAATACACCCTATCTGCGACAAAGACACGCAATTTAGATTGTTGCGTGATTGGGGTAACCGTTGAAATGTGAAATAGAAAAGGGCCAAAATACTTTTTTCATGCGAATCGCTCAACTTTGTAGTCGTTGTTGTCATTGCTTCTTATATCATTCTGGAATTCCAACTTTGCTAGTGGAAACTCTTGCCAAATCCTTCCGTGAATGTGCAAACACTAAGTAACTAAGCAAAGCTAAGATCACCTCTAGTAGTTCGTGCCAACCCCTGTAGTCTAGCTCACTACCGTTGTAGAGTTAATCTCCGCATCTCCTGCATGCCATTCTTCACAGTCTTCCCCGTCAAAGCGGCCAGGGCGCCACCATTCGTCATCGCTGGGCTCTTCTGCCTCCCCGCCTTCCTCAAGCACGCCCCCCTCCTCCTCTGCCGCCGCCGCTTCCGCATCCTCCTCAGCGGCGTCAGCCTCCTCTGCCTTCGCCTGCAGCTCCTCGGCCGGCATGGGGACTTCGACGTAGAAGGGGTTGACGACGAGCTCGTCGTCAACCAGGTCGTTGACGTCGTCAAACACTTCCACCTCACCCTTGTCCCGCATGTGGGCAAGGATGAGGTGGTCCTCGCTGCCATCGATGGGGGTGGAGATCCCTCACGTGACGAACACCTTCTTCACGAGCTCCTGTGTTATTGCTTCCCAGGACTCATCGATCACACCAACTCCGCTGGCGGCTTCTTGAGATCGCCTAAGGGACGGGGAAGGGTAGAGAAGGACAAATGTGAGTTTCCATAGCGTAGGCTGACATTGATTCAAAGTTACACATGCGGATGTCATGGTTCAACTCACCAGACTTGGTCGTGGTGTTGATGCCCTCTTCTTCGAACCAGCCACTTTAGCAATGACGCACACCGCACTTGAACGCGCGGTTGATTGACACATCCATAGGCTGCACTAGCGGAGTGCAGCCCCCTGGGATGACAGCCCGTGACAGCCGAAACATCCTCATGGTCTGCCCTACCGCCTCAGTCAAGTGGCCGCGGTAGGAGTCGAGCATGACCAAGGCCTCCTTGCGGCGTCCAGTTGATTCACGCAAGGGCTTCAGAAACGGCACCATCACCTGGGTGATCCAGTCCTGCACAAGTGATTCGTCCATCCACCCTTTGTCTTGTGCACGGACCACCACACCTGCCAAAGAATACCGGTACGTTTGGGTTCAATTCGGTTGCGACTGTTGACAGGCTACAGTAGTGACATCATCATAAACTTGAGAAAACTTAAACGAGAATGATTGACTGAGGAATGAAAGTGATACAAATATGCAACCCTAGAAATGTGGACCCCATATATGCTACCCCACTATAGCCTACACAACATTATAATTTGACACACCCCCATAGGCAAAGTGGGGGAGAACAAGGGGTCACAAGACCAGTCAAGCAAAGCAAAGCAAAGCTCAGGGTGGATCACAAAGTCACCACACATTCCGAGCACAAGTTCAAGGCCAGAAGGCCAGTTCACATGCAGGAACACATATATATATAACAGGCTAAACAAGCAAGAGCAGTAGTATATATATATATGTCACATTACAAGCAAGGTCAAGAAGTGAGTAAGTGAGGCAAGACAGGCACAAGACCAAGTTGAGTACAGAAGCGCTGATGATCACAAGACGCAAGTGCCTTAGTGAAGATATCAGCAGTGTTGGCAACAGAGGCCACGTATGCAAGTCGCAACTGACCACGCTGCTGCAGCTCACGAGCAAGAAATTAGCGGAGAGCAATGTGCTTCGTTTTGTGCTCCAGGCGCTGCTCCCGACACAAGGCCAGCATGGCCTTGTTGTCTACGTACAGCACTGGAGGAGAACGAGTGTTGGGCTCGAGGTTGGCACTGATGTTAATCAATCAGGTGGCAGAGTGGGCCCACTGGAATTTGCCATGTGGCAGATTCCAGTGGAGGACGATGTTATCATCGTAGACACGGTTTGGCTTCCCTGATAAAAACAAAAAATAATAAGGCCAGACCCCTGTTTTTGTTTGCATTCATTTCTGCTTTTAAAAAAATGTGCAATATAATAAGACCTGGGTATTATGTATTTTTTTCCTATGAGGAGACCCCCCCCATTTTTTCCCTGTATTTTTAGCTATAACCTAGGGTGTTATGTCCGGGAGAATACGGCTGATGGGGTTTTTCAAACACCTTGATGTTAAAAAATTCCCTTGAGCATCGTCTAAGTACTACAAGGAGAGGTAAATAATAAAGATGTGTTCCTATTGTAACTCTAGGAATTTATCAAGCATCTTTATCGAGTATTCCACCAGTCGCAATTCAAACACTCCCTTGCATCTTTTATCGAGTATTCCACCACTCGAAATTCAGGCACTGAGGCACTCCCTTGCTGTGCTGGCGAGTACCTCACAATTTTGCGCCCTAATACTGATTGGTTTAGCTTTGCCCCTACAACATTCATTCGATCGGCACAACGACGCGAGCTGTTCTGATTGGTCAGCCTCGGCGTGATTGCTGTACAGCGCATCAGCACGAATCGCTGAGATCTTTGAACGTGACAGGCTGAGGTGGTGAGGCGTGGCACAGATTCAACCTCCGAGGTAGGGTTTTGCATCGCGCGTTTACAGGTTGGTCAGAGGCGTGGTGAGGCGTGGCGCAGATTCAAGCTCGGAGGTGGGTTTTGGCATCGCGCGTTTGCACATTGGTCAAGCGGTGCGTGTATCTCCCTCCCCCGTCCTTTATTTTTTTTCACTCCGGTTCGGTGGCGTGGCGGATTTTCAGGTGTATGTGTGTGTGGTATTTTGTGCGGGTGGATGATGTTCTAGCGTTTTCCAGAAACAGAATTTCTGGTCGATATTTTTTTGTTCTTGTTTTTTTTTTACTCGAGCTTCCCGCCCGTTGAACTTGAAATACGTCTACATGTGTCCTCCGCGCGCTGCGTCACAATTGCAGTTTGGTGCGCAGTGCGCACCTCATGTACACCTGGAAGAATGAAAAAGGTGACCCTGGAAATGCGAATTGGAGGGCTGGAGGAGGGACTTTCAACTCCGTACTAAAAGGTTCCCCCATCTTGGGTGCCCCTCGCCAACTGAATTGGAGACCTGGAGTCGGTGCTAAATGTAAAAAACTTTTAGCGACAAAATAATTATAGTACAGAAGGGGTAACGTGTAAAGGAGTTTCGCCTTCCTATCCTTGTTGGCTCAAGCTCACTCTAGTGCCCACACCAAACTGCTCAGAGGCACTCACGTAACTCATACTTCCCTTCTGTGTGCAGCAACGGGAATCGTGCCACTTTACCACTAAACTAGCTCCTCCAGACGCATGATTGAGTTGTTAACTACATTTCAAGCCATGAATATGTATCACTCATATACCCAAACGTATGACCTCTCTGTTTCATCATGGCTGATCTCCCGGAGTCGATTCAAGCAGAACACCGTGAAAAAAGGCGCCGCCATGCTGGTGTACCAGCTAGGTTCGAAGGATACCAGATGTATGGCTCAAATTTGTCTCCTGTGGCTGATTCTCGTCGCCAAACTAATCATGTCCCTACTCTTCCCCGTCAGAAGCAAGCTCCACCCGTGGTAACAGAAGAGATGGAAGAGGTGGCCGCTGCTCTAGTGCAGAGCGAGGAAGCTATTGGTACTTCTGCCGGACCGATGACTGCTAACCATTCTCCAGTGGTTCGGGCAGGCACTCCTGAAGATCATTCCCCTGCGGCATCTCGTAAGTGTCTGCTGTAGCTGGAAATGATATTGGAGTAAATCGTATTTTGGTCGCTTCTTTAACATGTTTGATTATGCTTTTATGGCTTTGTGAATCTCACTATGGTGAACCGGTTGGCTGCTTATTCTTAATCTCCAATGTCTCTAATTAACTTTCAGAGCGAAATGTCTATCACCGCGAAGCGAACAACTTCAACGGCTTGGATGCGGAGACGAGGCTAGCTCTCCGCGACATTCGGGGTTTGATTGAAAAGCTGGACAAACGTCTCCGTGCAGCTGACGAGAGTCAGCGGGTTCTGATCGAGACTGTGAATCACCTCGCGAAGGCTCTTATCAAGCCTAGTTGGTGCGATGACACCAAGATTTCGGTACGTTTTAGTATGTTCATCGTGTTGTGTTGACTGAATCTCGATATGAATTATTGGAGCTATATTCGAAGCCCCCTGCACGGTATATGTTCCATTTCATAACTTTGACCTTGTGTTATTGATGATGCCTACACCCATTTACAGGAGGCCGTGAGCTCGGTGGTCGATCTTCTTCTTAACGGACGGGACCTGGAGAAGCGTAGGATTTATCCTACCGAAGCGGACTTCAAAAAGCACGTGATGATCGTCTTGGGCGTTCAGGAGCACGAGTTCGCGCGATTCAACACGGAATGGCTTGAAGGAAGCTGGTTCAAGAAGTGCAACGACTTGTGCAACAACCGTCGTGGGAAGTATAGCAGCAGCTTCCGTGGCATCGTTTTGCCTCGTCTTAAGAATGACAAGGGCGAGCTGATTCCTGACACCATGGCAGCGCGGCAAGATTATGCCAAGGCACATGTGTCAGGTACATTGTTGCTTTGTCTGTTGGTTTAAATTTCTGTTTTTGTACTCACTGACTCATGTTCTGTTTTTGGCAGACATCTATGGTCTTCCTTGGCATGTTTTTGACATGCTGCCCTTCAACAGTGAAGTCTTCAATGCGGCTGCTTCTTCTTGGTACAAGGAAGAACAGGACGTTGTCGCTCTCACCATTGACCAGCTGTGCTACATGCTGGTTGCTGTAAGTATATGCCGTATTAGACATGTACTTGCTTCTCTATATGAGTTCTGATTTTATTGCTGATTCTCTTGTTTGGTTATTTTGCTGGTAAACCAGATTGAGTATGGGATGCTCACGGGCAAGCCCAGCTTGTCCTCTGACGCCACGTCTAACAAGAGGGAGATGGAGAAGAGGAAGGCGCAGATCGAAAAATGGATCGAGTATGTGGACATTCCCCTCAAGGAAAATTTTTATGATTTCGGTTTTGTTATTGTCAAGAACTGGCGTAATTAGTCTGATTAGTAGGCTGAGTGTGGTAGAAGGTAGACTGCAGCATTAGCTAGATATTGCTAATAGTAGGAACTAGTTGCATTAGTAATTAGATTCTACTAGTTTAATTTGTTTATGCCTTTAACTTCTAATTGTAGTCGCTTCAATTATGTATTGCTCAGCATATCATTGAGAATTGAAGAACGAAATATGCTGGGCAGAAATATGTAGAATGTAATTAAATTAATTTTACTGTCTTATTGAATATCTTGCAGTACAATAGGAATAATTTCAATCAAGGTAACATTGCGTAATGTCTGGTCAAAATCTAGTAGCTGTGTTGAACGTGCAGTAACGAATTTTATAGCAGTCATGCAGTTACCGAAGTTCAAATCGAGGGTAGTAATGCATATTGCACCAATCACAGGTGCCCTCTACACACAATTCGATTCTCCCACAGGAAAACGAGGAGTTGCGATCACAAAATGTGGAAGTCGTTGAACCAAGCGAAGCAGGTAACACCTACTTCACGAAACAGAAAGTCCCTTCATCCAACCAAATTTGAACACTCAGCAGATAGCGAAACATTTGCTGGAAAGGTGTGCCGCGGATACCAATGGAAACCAACCTGCCGATATTGGTTGTCACCAATCGCCAACCGGCATTGCTGGCTGATTGAATCTCGCCCTTTTCCCTCTCGATAGCTACATGACTACCCGCAACCTGCCAGCAACCTTCGTTCTTCGTGCGATGGTCGAAAGCGGCTGAGCGATTGGACTCCATCGATGGCGCGGGACCAAGAGGGCAACGCACACACGGCATCCGGCGAGGCCGATGATTCAAAGGAGTCGCTCGTGTTAGTGGCCGGCAACGGGAACAAAACTCCAAGCGACGCGTGGTTCCTCGATACCGGCGCAACGCAACACATGACGCACTCGGCGTCGCTCCTCAACAACATTGGCGCTCCGGGAGACGTGACGAGCATCGTGTTCGGAAACAACGAATCGCTACCGGTGGTCGGAGTTGGGAGTATGCGCCTCATCGTCGATAGCGGTCCGGTGGACGTGACAAATGTGCTTCACGTCCCGGGGGTGAAGGTGAACCTTCTATCCGTCCCGCAACTTGCGAAGAAGGGAGTGATCGCCACGATCAACGGTGCGAAAATGAACCTCTTTTGGAAGGGGGAGCAATTCGCGCAAGGTGTTCTCAACGGAGATATCTACCAACTCAAGACGTACTCGAGAGCGGCTTCATCCAACGTGGCGCAAGGCTCCAAGGCGACTCTCAAGGCGTGGCATAATCGGCTTGCGCACGCCAACTACGACTCGGTCAAGGAGTTGGCCAAAAAAGGACTTGCGAAGGGAGTCGACGTGATCGCCGGCGACGACGAGAAGGGCGTGTGCGCGGCGTGTGTCGAAGGAAAAATGGCTCGCAAGCCATTCGGTAGCCGAACGTCACCCCTCGCTAAGAACCCGCTTGCACTTGTTCACATGGACGTGTGTGGACCGATGCGGCATGCATCAAAGGGAGGAGCGCGGTTCCTCTTAGTGATGCTCGACGACGCGACGCGGATGTGTTGGACCCGGCTCTTGAAGGCTAAGGGAGATGCGGCCAAGGCGATTCAAGAGTGGGCGCTCGAAGTTTGCGATGATGACAAGAAGCGGATCAAGGTTATTCGTACCGATGGTGGTGGCGAATTCGTGAATGCGGAGCTCGAGAAATGGATGAAGTGCAAGGGCATTAAGCACGACGTCACAACACCCTACACACCCCAACAAAATGGAGCGGCGGAGCGGCTTAATCGCACGTTGGTGGAAGCTGTTCGTTCTCTTCTTCAACACTCCAAGCTTGGGAAAGAGTGGTGGGGCGAGGCGAGTTCGCTAGCGGCGTGGATTCGCAACCGTTTGCCGACGAAGGTGCTCCCGGGAATGACTCCGTTCGAAGCATGGACCGGAACGAAGCCGAACCTATCTCGCCTTCGCACCTTTGGGTGCCTTTGCTACTACCGTGTACGGGATCCCCTTCGCCACAAGTTGCAACCGAAGGCTCGTGCGGCGATCTACTTGGGAATTGCGGCGAACGAGTGTGCGTGGCGAGTGTGGGACTTGGGCGACAAGTGCGTCGTCACGTCTCGGGACGTGGTCTTTGATGAAGACAAGTTCCCGTCGAAGGAGAAACCCACTCAACAACTCACCTTCATCCTTCCGCCACGAGAGGAGGTTGAAGAGAGTGAGATTCCACCTCAAGTGGAGAAGGAAGCCGATGGAGGGGGAGCGAACAGCGAGGAGAGCATTGATGATGTCGTGGAGGTGTTACCAACCAAGGCGGCAACTACCTCCACACCTTCCTCCCTACCATTGGCCTTGACCCGCGAACGTCGTGAGGTTCGTCCTCCCTCCAAGTACAACGACTACGCAAAGGTAGCCGTTGGGGAGACGGATAAGGAGGGCACGGCATTTTGCTTCGCAACCAAGGGTGATGATGAACACGCGAAATCTCTCATGGAACCACCCCCTAAAGATTCATCCCGTGCATGCTATGAGCATGTTGGTTTGCACACCTAGTGGGTTGGGTGCAAGGGGGAGTGTTGGAGATTACGTGTGTTGGAAGTAAGGTGGTGGTGGGGCGTTTGTATGCCCCCAACCCACCGAATGTGTGACTTGTGCTCACCTTCGAGTGAGTTGCAGGTTTGCGTGGGGTTGAGGATTGACTTCGGAAGACCCATTCGATTCGGTGCCACATGGCAGCACCAGGAACATTCGAGACCCAAGGAGAATTCGGATCGGTGAAATTCGAGAGTCGAATTTCACCCTTTCGATGTTACTCGAACATTCGCGAGTGTAGCGGTTCGAGGTTACTTGTGCGATTCGATCTTGTTTGCATGCTATAAATATGTTTTCTTTGTATTGCATGCCATCATAGTGAAACTCAGAGTTCTTTGTACAAGGTACATTCGAACCAAAATTCCAGAGAGCTCCTATCCTTCCTTCTAAGAGCACTAGCAATCACGTGAACGTCAGTATCTCGGCGTATACTTGGGCGATTAACGTGTTTGACGGCTCGTTGGAAAGCCGACGCTGTGCTCTATCGTTTAGTATAACTTAGAGTTCCTGCCAACTAGAGGACACGCCTCTACATCAGAAAGATGGGCCGCAGATGTTTAGGCGGATCGTGCTAGTGCAGGAGTAGGAAGGTTTTTGCAGCGTGTGGTGCGTGGGAGGCCGATAGTGCAGCCGCAGGTTGTAGGTGGTGGCGAGATGAGCGACCTTGTGCTGGCACGCAAGGAGACGGTGAGGATGACGAGCACGACAGGCAGCAGGCGCATCGGCAGGCAGCGAGATGGGCGGAGACACCGGGGCAGTGTTGGTGGCGCCACTGGCGGCGCTGGGGAGAGCGGGAACGAGGGCGAAGGGGGGGTGAAGGGGCGGTGAAGGGGCGGTGAAGGGGGGGTCATTGACCATCTCGAAGTCGCCTAGGTGAGGCGCTCTGAAGGTGGAGACGTGTGTGAGATTCACTCAGGAGAGTGGTGAAGGGGGGGGCAAGGGAGTGGTGAAATGGGGTTGGCTGTTGTTGAGGCAGAAGGCAGGGGGGTTGAAGCAAGGGGGGGTTGCAAGGGGCTGAAGGAGGGGGTGAAGGAGGGGGGCGATGTGAGAGGTTGTACGTGAGAGGCTATCTGTGAGGAGCTGTGTGTGAGAGGCTTTGAGCTCTGTGGGGCAGGCAAGGATGTGTGTGAGGTGACTGGAACGTTTGTGAGGGACAGCTGAAAGGGGTGTCGCTGATGGGGCTGGCGGAGGCTATAGAGCATGCCTTGAAGCTCCGAGAGGGTTTTTTAGAGCACCTCCCAAATCACCCTGCAGTGTTTCCTTCCAACCCTTGTCCAATGCTTGCATTTTCACCCTGCCCTCATCCCTTACCCCTCCCACTCCGCTCTGCGCCTGCTTGCTGTTACCCTCTTGTACCATCAGGGCGATTTCGAATCTTCAGCTTGACCTTGCTCTGTAACTTTACTCACTCCCTTTCACTTACCCCCTACCCCCTCCCCCTCCCCTTTCCCCTGCCTCTACGCTTGCCCTCTTCCTCTTGCCTTACCCCCTTCTCCTTCCCTTACCATCTCCCCCTCCGTTTATCCCCTTCCTTTATCTGTATCCCCTTCTCCTTCCTTCTCTTCTTTTCCTTCCCCCTCTCCCACCTCTCCCCTCCCCTCCACTCCCCTCCACCCCACCTCTCCTCCCCTCCCCTCCCCTCCCCTCCCCTCCTCTCCCCTCCCCTCCCTTACCAATTCGCCTTGCCCCAGCCTCCTGCCGGCCCATCTCGCCACGAGTCCCCGTCGAATCCACGCGCTCCGGTGGAAATGGCGGGGCCTGCCATGTTAACCATGCGAGGGCATCACCATGCGTGTCAGGCCACCCCATGACCGCGCCTCTCCTCGCCGTGCCGGGATGCTGCCAAGCACCTACCGCTGCACCACCACCAGCGGCGCTGCTGCCGGAAACGTAATGAATGCCGCCCAGCTGTGTGCCTGAGCCTCCTACACGCCCACTTGCCACCTACCTGCCCACCTTCCATTTGCCACCCGTCTGCCTGAACCCTTCATGTTTTCCGTCCAACCATGCTGTTGTCCCATTCCCTCCTTTCCTGCTCCCTCCCCTCCCACGCGCCCCCAACTCCTAGCCAAATTCTGCCTGCCCCACTGCACTCACACTCATCACTTCACTCCCCTCCGCACCTGCTTCGCCCACACCTACCCCTGAACCACAAACTCCTTTCCACTGCAAGCACTCGCACCCCCACACCACTGTCTCCCGTACCCCTCTCACAAACCACTGTGCTGTTCACCCTTGCTCCCCTCTCCCCTCGCCCCGTCCGCACTCCTTCCAGTGCAACACCTGCTTCTCCTGCACCCACTCCTGCCCCTACACGCACCCGCACTGTTCACGAACAACCTGCGGGCTGCTGACGTGGCGGAGGTGCGCGATCGAATCATGGGTCATCAGTTGGTCAGTGGCAGGTCAGTGGCAGGTCAGTGGCAGGTCAGTGGCAGGTCATTCACTCACAGGCTGGCTGGTGACCTCTTTTTTGGTCGCACTGGGTCGATCATCAATTACCTCCAAAATGTACCTGGCATCTGCTATGTACACGTCAATCAGAACATAACGATGGCACTTGGGGTATCCAACTGGTGTCCGTTCCTGAGAGTGCAGCCTACCGTGGAAGTGCATATGCAGTTATGCATCGAAGGTCAGAGTATTTCTTCTCCCACTCTCACTCCTCCGACTCCCCGTCCCCCCCCCCCCCCCATCCCTGCCCTTGCCTCGTCCGCGCTTCCCTCCCCATGGCGTTCCTCATTGGTTGCTGCTATGGTGTGAATGGTTGAAGAGAGTGCCTCGTCTTCCCTCTCCCCTTCTCCATCTGCTCTGCTCTGCTCTCATCTCCTCGTCTCTGCTCTGATTGTCTGTGCTCTGCGCGTTATGCTGCCATGCAATAAAGTGTAACTCATTCCCCACCCCCAGAAACAATTCCGCCCACACACTCATGGATGTTCCACGCATCTGTATTGCATGCACCTGTCTGCACATGTCAACTCTTCGTGCTTATGATCATTGCTTTCACCTCCTCCTTCCCGCTCCACCAGACCCTCCCGCAGCTATTCCAGAGCATCATGGCAGGCAGCATATTACCGCATGCACACATGTTCCTCTCTCTCCTCTTCCTTTGCACACATGTTCCTTGCGTTGCGTCTGCTCCCCTATCAGCCGCCTCTCTCCCCTCTCCAGACTGCCCATGCTCGTTGCTTCTTCTCCCCTGTATCTCCCTCGCCACTTCCTCCTGGGTCTTCCAGAGCATGAGCGAAAGGAGCTATGGCATGCACCTCATGCTCCTACTTTCCACCACCCCTCCTTCCACTGTACCACAACCCCTTCCTCACCCTCCCTCGGTCACCCGTGCTCGTTGTTTCTTCCTCCTTACCGTTCCCCTCTTCCCCCTCCCATCCACGCGCTCCAGCTCTTCCTATGTATCACGGCAAGGCCCAATGCAACGGGGTAAAGCTCTCCCGGCCCAGCCTCCTCCCTGGCCTCCAGGGCTGCCACCTTACTTTCTCTCGCTTTGAGTCCTTCCTGCCTTCCTCCCGTATAGATGGTGAGTAGTGGGGTGAAAGCAGAATAAGTGGACGGTTGGGAGTGGGTGGATGGAATTGCATGGAGTGTGGCGGATGGGAGGGAGTGTGGTGGATGGGAGGGAGTGTGGTGGATGGGAGGGAGTGTGGTGGATGGGAGGGAGTGTGGTGGATGGGAGGGAGTGTGGTGGATGGGAGGGAGTGTGGCAGATGGGAGGGAGTGTGGTGGATGGGAGGGAGTGTGGTGGATGGGAGGGAGTGTGGTTAGGTGGTGAGTGGGGGTTGGGTGTGTTAGAATATAGCATATACAATTCTAGTCGTGCAAGTGCGATAGTGTCGGCATATTTCTCGGCGCTGAGGTAGATAGCATTCTCTTCTTCGCGAATGTTGAGTCCGAGATACTGAGTGACGGTAGAAGAAACCGTGAGCGTGAGGTCCTTCTGCAGCTCCCCTTCGAACCAGGAGGTGATGTCGTCGGTGGAGCCGATGTAGAGTAGGTCGTCGACGTAGACGATTAGCAGGATGTAATCGGCGTCTTTAGTGAGTCGGTACATCCCTTGGTCGTGAGGCAGTTGGCGGAATCCGATGCGAGTGAGGCGGGTGTGTAGGTGCTGTTGCCACAGCCGCGGGGCTTGTTTGATTCCGTAGAGCGATTTCAGCAACTAGCAAACCTGATTGGGTTTCCCGTGGGTACCGTGTGGGAGCTCGACGAAGATTTCGGCGTCGGCGGGTGCGTAGAGGAATGCGTTGGCGGCATCGATTTGTCGCAACTTCTTCTTCTTCATGGCGGCGACGGCGAGAAGAATTTGGAGAGAGGTATGTCGACTAACCGGGGCGAATGCCTCGGTGAAGTCCCGTCCGTGCTCCTGGTCGAATCCACGTACGACCCAGCGTGCTTTGAATTTCTCAATCGTGCCGTCTGCTTTCGTTTTGATGCGGAAAACCCATTTCCCGGTGAGAATGGTCTTGTTCCTTGCCACGCTTGCGGGAACAACCTTCCAGGTGTTGCGTTCCTCCAACGCCTTTAATTCTCTGTCCATGGCTTCACGCCATTTCTCCCTGTGTTCCCCCCCCAGAGCCTGCTGAACCGTCGCAGGCTCTTTAGGAAGAGCGTTGCCGTGGACTGCGGTGACGAGGCCGAGGATTTGCAGCCCAGTCTGTGAGTATCGGGGAAGTGTTGGTGTCAGAATATTATTCTTATGTTCTAGCCTGTAGTGGGGTGCTCTATAGCGAGTACAACCCTTCTAGGGTTTGCTATTTGTATCCTCATTTCTGCTAGTTCATTCCTCTTTCTTTCTTCTAACTTTTGACATGCTATCAGAGCAGGTCGATCCCCTTGGATCGATCCTGTGGGTGGGTTACCACCTCGCTTCCGCTGCTACTTTTTCCTCCCGCCGTGCGCCCCGAGGCGCGCGGCGGTTTTCTGCCCGCCGTGCGCCCCGAGGCGCGCGGCGGTTCATTGCCCGCTGTGCGCCCCGAGGCGCGCGGCGGGCTTCTCCCCTACGTCGCGGCCCCGCCCCGATCGTCGCGGCCCCGCCCCTTGACGCGGCCCCGCTCTACGTCGCGGCCCCGCCCCGGCCCGTCGCCGCCCGTGCGCCTGCCCGGCTCGGCCCCGCCCTTCGTCGCGGCCCCGCCCCGGCCCGTCGCCGCCCGTGCGCCTGCCCGGCTCGGCCCCGCCCTACCTTCGCGGCCCCGCCCAACGTTGCGGCCCCGCCCTATGTCGCGGCCCCGCCCTACGTCGCGGCCCCGCCCTATGTCGCGGCCCCGCCCCGACCGTCGCGGCCCCGCCCCTCGTCGCGGCCCCGGCCCCGTCCCCCCCCCCCCCCTTTTCTCCCCTCCCCCCCAATTCCCGTCGCCCGTCGCGGCTCCTTCGGGGGCCGCAAGCGGCCCCCTCAGGTCGCCACGACGGACGACGGGAGGGGCGAGCTGTGGGGTGGCGGGTATGGGGGTGGCCGGTGTGCCTTCCTCCCTTTCTCCTCCTCCTCCTTCGTCTCCCACTGCTGCAGCTGTCGCTGAGGGGGGTGGTTGTGTGGGAGACTGGGTTTAGGGTTTAAGGGGGGTGCGTGGGAGTGGAGCTAGCGGTGTAGCAGTGGGTGTGTATGAGGGGGGTGGGACTGTGTGTGGGAGGTTGAGCGGAGGTTGCCAGTTTGTCGTCCGCAGCACCTGTAGTCCGGGGCGCTGTCCCGGTAGCCCAGTGAGCTTGTCGCTGAGCCGGTCGCCTGTGGGTCCGTTGCCCGTCTGCCGCTACTTGAGCCGCGGGGCCTGTTACTCCCGTAGTCCTGGGCGCTGTCCCGGTAGCCACTGTGCTCGCCACTCCTGTTGCCCGTGTGTCTGCAGCTTCAGCCGCCGCCTTCTATCTCCTCTCCTCTCACTCTCCCTCCTCCTCCTCACTTGCCCGTTGTGACCACTGCTAGCTTTGCTCATAATTGTTAACTTTGAACTATTTCTACTTGACCTTGTGCTCAGAATGCGTGGTGACATTGTGATCCACCCTGAGCTTGTACTGTTTTGCCTGCTCTGCTGATTACACCCCACTTTGGCTATGGGGGTGTGTCAGAATATTATTCTTATGTTCTAGCCTGTAGTGGGGTGCTCTATAGCGAGTACAACCCTTCTAGGGTTTGCTATTTGTATCCTCATTTCTGCTAGTTCATTCCTCTTTCTTTCTTCTAACTTTTGACAGTTGGATCCTCGGGATAAGCTGCTTCGTCTCTCGCTTCTGGGTCGGGTATGAAATTCGGCCCTATCCTTTGTGCTTTGTTTGTGTTGACTGTCGCAGGTGTTACGTAACCGTTGTCGGCGAAGTGATAGAAGGTTTCGGCGTTGACACTGTCGCGAGGATTTTCTTCGTCCATGGGCACGTCGACGGAGCAGAACGGAAGAGGTCCGGCTTCTTCCGATGCGTTGTCGACGTTCTGTTCATCCCAGTCTGCTTCGTCCGCTGCTGAGGCGAAGGCTCGGTCACCACGAAAGCCACCTGTGGGGTCCTGATTCTCGTGCAAGTTGGCGAGGTACGTCTGAAGGGTGAGTCGCTCGTAGACGATTACATCACGTGCTGCTACTGTTTCCTTTGAGTGGACGTCGAAGATTTTCCACGCGTTGTAATTCTTTTCGATGCCGAGGTGTAGTCCCCACTGTGCCCGTTGTGAAAATCTTCCCGCTCGTGCTTCTGGGGGTCGGTACTGTACCATGCATCCAAAAACTCGTAACATTTTTGTGCTGCCCTGCTTCCCTGTCCACAGCAGATGCGGTGATGCGTTGTTCGGGAGTGAGGACGACGACAGCAAGTTGTGCAGAATGACAGCATGGTCCATTGCTGCAGGCCACTGGTGGTTGGGTAGCCGCATGCCACGTAGCAGTTTGCGCATGCTGTTCTGCAGAGTCCTATTCATTCTTTCTGCAACACCTTGCTGCTGATGGGTGTAGGGAAGGGAGAGGAGTTGCATGATTCCTCTTTCCGCCAGGTACTGCTTGAAGCGCTGAGAGGTGTATTCTCCTCCTCCGTCTGACTGGAAGCTTTTCAGCTGTGTTCCTGATTCTCTCTCTGCTACCGGTAGCCAAGCGGTGAACGCTGCGAGTGCCATGTCGCGGCTGGGTAGGTTTCGGTGCCAGACGTATCGAGTAGCGGCATCGATGAAGGTTATCGTGTAGTTGTAAGTAACTTGTCCTGGTTCTCGATTGAAGAGGATGTCGCTGTACACTTTCTCGAGTGGTGCGTACGCGGGTGCGCTCGGGCTGTGGTGAGAAGTAAACGGTCGATGTTGTAAGTCGGCTTCGGGGCAGATGAGGCAAGTTCCTCGTGCCCGTTGAAGTTCTCTGCCGTTGGGTAGTAGTAGCGAATCCTTGTCTAGGACTCCTGCTCGTATTGTGTTATATAACACTGTGTTGCTTGGATGTCCTGTGGGTGCGTGCCAGATGTCTTCAGGAGCGCGATGTCCAGGTGAGCGTTGATACGTGTCGGAGTTGGAGTAGAAGCTGGCGACGAAGTTAGCGCTTCTGTGGACTTCTCGTTGAGTCGGGTTCAGTTGCTGTGCGGGTGTTGGTGGTGCTTCGTCGACGAAAACTGGTGTCGTTGGTCCTGCTGCTGCCGATGATGCTTCTGCTGCTGCCGATGTTGTCTCTGCTGCTGCCGATGTTGTCTCTGCTGCTGCCGATGTTGTCTCTGCTGCTGCCGATGTTGTCTCTGCTGCTGCCGATGTTGTCTCTTCTGCTGTCGTTTGTTGAATCGTTGCTAACGCTCGTGTTCGTTCTGCTTCAGGGATGGTGTGCGAGTACCAGAAGCCTCCCGGGCTGAAGTCGGGATCGAGATCCGGGGGATGTGTCCAATCGGCGAAGTTGACGATGGCATCGCTGTCTGCAGTGCCCAGGTCGGGGACGAAGTCAAGGACGAAGACGTTGTTCTTCAAGAACGCCCTTCCGATGTAGAGGCCGCCTTTCCCGTGGTACAGCTTAAACTCCTGGGTGGTGCTGTCGGCTTCCAAGTGGATGCCTTTCGCCATCAGCTGGCTGACACTCAGTAAGTTATAACCGAGTCCCTCCGCGATAAGTACCTTTGACATGTGTAGTATGACGTTTGTTTCTCGAGACTGAAGTTGTACCACTCCTTCTCGTCGTGTGCGCAGGTTTTGATTGTTGGCGACCGTGATGACTACCTCTCGTTGAAGTCGATGTTCGCGTTGAACGAAGCGTCCTGAGGAGCACATATGTTGTCCGCAGCAACTGTCCAAGAACCAAGTATCTTGTCCGGATGGTTCGCTTTGAGCGATGGCGGCGTACGTCGGGTTCGGCTGGAGTGACTCGCGGCGAGGCGTGCGGTTGTCGAGTTCTTCTTCCGGTGAGTAGTGAGGTGGTGACTCGGTTGTGCAGGAGTCTGCTATCTTCACCATGCAATTGACAATGTTTCTTGCTCCTTGTGCAGGTTGTCCTGTTGAAGTCGTTGAAGCTTGGATTGAGGTCGTCGGATTTGCTTGCATTGAGGCGACTTGGGAGCTTGACGGCCGAAGTTGTCGCTGTGTTGTCGTCGATTGTTGACGAGACGGGCAGTGCGTACGAGGATGACCCGAGGTCTTGCAGATGTGGCAGAACGGAGGTACTGTCTTCGCTTGTTGTTGTTGCCGATTGTTGTTGTTGTTGTATCGTCGCTGAGTGTGAAACGCAAACTCCGGTACTAATGTTTTCTTCTTGTGTCTTTCTTCTTGCAGGTCCATGTCCTGCTGCTCGGCATGAATTTCGGCGCAGAGTGCTGCTTCGGAGATTCTCCCGTGTGCT